TCGCCTACGGCTCGGAGGCCAACGCCACACGAGTAAAAAACCCCATCGCAGCAGGCCGGAAAAATACTAATCTCTGTAACCCTGATTACCCAGAGAATTGAGCAATTCTTTTATTTTATTCTCATTCCTCAAACTTCACGATACTTCCATACAACTCCAATCCATCCATACCCTCGAATTATTCTGATCCTACGAGGCGCAGTTATACACATAAGTCCTGGCTAACTCTCACTCTCTCAATTTCTTATCCCTGTATCCGTATTTTGATTTCGAATCATAGAATTCCATATATATCCGTTCTAAAACTTCACTACACTCGTTTCAGGAGATGATTTCAATTCTCCTATTGATGAATTCTGGATTGATAATCTACCCACTCAGTTTTTTTTTTTATATTCCGACACTTTCTGCCCTCTGATTGGCTAATCGGCCCTATCCAACCCTATGCATGCGGCTAATATGCATTTTAGAAGGATATTCTTATTTGCAGAGCATTACCCAACTTATGCAAAATATCTCCTGACATTTCCTCCTAAACCGACTAATTTCACAGACAATTACAAAATAACTCATCAATATATCAGAGAAGAAAACAAAACCGATCTCGTAATTTCCAAAATATCTCCAGAACCAGACCTGATATCAAAAAACATCAGAGAACTTTTTCTATAGATAAACAAATTCCCCACGAAAAAGTTATTTCAGCATTTCTTCTAAACCCCTTCACTCCGAAAATATATAAAACAAATTCAAAAACCTCGCCTCCCCTAAAAACACCGTCTCCTAATGTCTCGAAATAAAAATACCCCCAGAGTTCACCAGATAACGGGAGCCCACAAAAAAATTATGATATTTCTCCTTAAGAAAATGAATCCAAAATCAATTTCCTCATCACTTGAATATCTCCAGAATAATTAAGGTCATCAAAAAATATCGAAAATTTTTAAAAGAATAGCATGTTTTACGAAAAATATCTTCTACCATTTATTCCTAAAACCTGCTAGCTTCATAATCACAAAATATGTCAATAATAAAACAGAAAAAATCCCAAAACATTTCTCCCCAATTTCCCAAATATCTTCAGGGCCATCAGTGATACGAAAAACCTCATAAGACCTTTCTTGTAGATAATCAAATTCCCCCCAAAAAAGGTTTGTGAAGATTCCCTCCAAACCCATTCACTCCGATGATATTCCACAATAATCCAAAAACCTCGCCTTCCCCATAAAACCGTCTCCTAACCTCTCGAGTAGATAATAAGCCTCGAGAACATGAAAAACCCACATGTTTTTACCCCCACACACATTCAGATAAAAAGAGCTCACCTCATGATAAACAGTACAACCCCGCAGAAGCATATCAATACTGCGAGAACGGAGAAAATATTCGAGAGCTCAGCGACAGACACCAACATCGCCGTCATTGTTACCCACTATTGTATTCTTCACATACAATAAAAGAAAAATTAGCCGCAGGCACCTATTACATTCGTCTCTTCCAATCAATGAATAAATTGATGTGAAGGATCTAATTGAAGAGATAAATCATCAAAATAAAGCAATTCAACTGCTCGTTCTGTCCTTTCCAGATATTTAGACGTCCTCGATGTCCTTTCGTCTCCAAACAATAAAAAAACCGGTTACAATCGCCGGAAAAGTTATAAAAAAGAGGGTATTGTTGTTACTGATGTCACTTGGTCGACTGTCACTTCACATTTCTCATCAAGCTTCATTAATTATCGTCGATGACACTCAATAACCAATTGACTTCTCCCACAAACTCAAATTCTTCAATGCAATTTTTTATTTTGTCAGGTGTTCCAGTCGTGTTTTATCACTCACAACCGAAACTTTTGGTTTTTCTTCACGATAACAACCGCACTCGACACCAAACACCATCACTCCGTCGCTAAATGCGATCCAACCGCTGTTATTTCACCTCATTTATCAAGTTTAAGGGTTCTTATCAATGATTGAAGAGGTTAAATCACACTGGGAATTTATTTACGATTATTCAGAGGACTAAATCGCGTTGGACACGATTTATCGGGCCCTCTTACATGGCACAGCCGTTTTGACAGGCTCACAATGCTTGAATGCTCGATACACACGAACGTTTTGAAGAATTGGTTTAATTGGCTGGGACTCTGAGGGGGAACGAGTGGAAATTCAAGGAGATACGCCGCATTACAGCGGTCTTGGCAACCAACTCGCGTTGTATGCGTTTTGATACTGCGGGAGACGAGGTGGAACGGAGATTTTAGATGAGAAAAATGTGAGGGGTGGGGGGATGACACATCATGCAGCAGCACAGAGCAGCGGCGTACGCGATACGGGTGACGTTTTATTGAAGAGGTTAAATTTTCAGGGTTTTCTGTTGCTCGAGTTTCTACTAGTAAATTTCATAAAATCCCTAGAGACGCCTAGTGATTTTTTTATTGGCGGGGATTTTGATCAGATGGAGTAGTAATTTTCGGGGAACAAATTACTTTTTTTTGATCGATTGTGTATTGATTGTTTGAGTTTATTGAATGGAATTGTTTTTTACTCGGTTTTCTGGGTTTTTTGGCACTAGGAAAATACTATGGAGCTGTTTTATCGACGGAGGACGTGGGATTGGCGCTGTTTGGCTTTTTTCAAATTATCCGCGAAATTCACATAATATCTTTTCAGTCTGAGAGTTGCTACATTTGCGTATACTTTTTTTCTATTTGAATGTCAAATCCCTAGGAGTTTAGGACACATCCGTCGAATTTTCGTATAAATCATCATTTTTGAGGGCTTGAATTTATATAAATATAAATATTGATGTTTTTTGGTATTTTAAACCCTTCACGGACGGGGCCCTTCTGTTACCAAGCGAAGTGTGTACTCAATACCACTCGAATTCGATTATTTCTATCTTATATAATTCTATCTTTATATAAATTAAATATTAATATTTTCGCACTAATTGTTCGTTTTTAGATATATATGTACGATCTTCAAAGCATGAGAAAACTCACTCTAATCGCCCGCGACTTTTAAAACTCATACTAATCTCCCCTTAACATGTTTTATGTGAAAAGTCAAAATAATGAAAAAAAATAGGAAAAGTCATGGGAGAAAGGTTTGAGTATGCTGCATCATTGAGAGTTTTTGCATATTTTGGTAATTTTAATGATCTTGGCTAGCAATTGCACGTGAAAAACATAAATCATTGATTATTTATCGATTTCACTTTAATCAACGGATTTTGGATTTGGAGTTTTCATACATTTTCCAAGAGTTCATTGCCCTCATGAAAAATCCGCTGGAACTATTTTTAATTACCAGATAATTGATTTTGAGTGAGAAAATATTTTATCAATCATTTATTCATCCATTTGTTTATATCGATTTTTCTAGATGGGAATTTAAATTCTGGGGATTTTTAGTCTCTGAAAATTTCTCTAGAACTGTCTTATCGACGAGAAACATTTGAAACAGCGCCCTCATTTCAATTTGCGGTGAAAGTGAATTTTTTTGGGGAAAACAAAATTCATAAACGCAATTTGTTGATTTTCGTAGGTGATGGGGTTTTATTGATTCAACTTGGACAGTTTCCTATGAATGCAGCGTTGAAAAGCGGTTTGCTGGTGGTTCTGAGTGCTGGGCTGTGTGGATTTGTCTTTCTCTCAGGGCGGAAGACTGAAGAGAAAGGAAATATGGCAAAACTCGTTGGAGTAGATTTCGAAGTGTTTGGGAGAGTTCAAGGTATCGTTAAAAAAAAAAAAAATAGAGAAAACCAGGGACAGATCGATGAGTAATGAAGTTGTCTTTAATATTTTCAGGGGTTTTCTTCAGGAAGGTGAGTGCTAAGGATTTTTCTTGGGTTCTGTTGATGATAGATATGTATTTTAGTTTGAAGCCCGGCGGAACACGGGCCTGTCACGTAATACGGACAGAGTATTGAGAGAAATCTGAGGTAGTGTGGTGACCTCCAGTGCTGACAATGTAGACATTTGCTTTATCTATTGCAGAATAATAATCTTTGAATTCCAATTTTGTCAATTAACCAAAAAGTTGAATTCCGTGAATGAATTTTTTTTCCTTAAAAAATTGTTTTTTCAATTAACCCCTCACGTACGGGCTCGGTATGTCATACCGACCCATGCAAAAACGCACGGCTCTTTTCGAAATTGAATATTTCCGAAACTATGGCAGATAATACAATCGGACTAACACCATTGGGAAGGTGAATACTGTAGCTTCAATTATATATTTTATTTATAATTTTTCATTCATCAGAAAATATGGGATGCGAAGAGTATTGATCGTGTGGTAGACTTGGTATCAGAAAGGCCCCGTACGCTCTGATGGCAAGACGACCATTAACTTGAAGATAATTTACTCGGCTCAAGTAAATGTGGTCGTCATATAAGAAAATTTTCGTCTCATTGGTGATATTTTGAAATTCACTTATAAAATTGACATAATTCAAAAGATTCCTCTTTTGTTTGTTTTGTGTCCAGTACACTCAGAAAAAGGCCGAGGAGCTTTCTTTGAAAGGCTGGTGCATGAATACTGATCAAAGTACAGTGACTGGAAGAGTTGAAGGTGAAAAATCCAAAGTCGAAATGATGTGAGTGAAATTCATCGAATTAGAAACTTCAAAATTATGGAATATTTTCGTAATTATTGTTCTGCAATTCAACAGGAAAGATTGGCTTCGCAAAACTGGAAGTCCTCAGTCAGCCATCGACAAAGCAGAGTTCAAGAACGAGCAGGAAATAACAGAAATTAGTTTTCCGAATTTTTCCATCAGGAGATGATTTATTATCTCCCTAACAAATGAATTTATCTATTTATGTATTTAAATCTCTGTAGAGTATTAATAAAACCTGAAGTATTTACAGACTTGTAAAATCATCGAGAATATCCTCTGATAATGGAATAAAGTGTCAGTCAACTCAACCGAGTGCTACCTCGTATTTCAATCGTTGATCTAATCAGTAGAACACATAGCGCATAGTAAAACGGAGAGATCAAATATTGGTGTGTGCATACATACTTTAGTGATTCACTTCATAACTTTGGACGGAGATATTCATCACAATAAGCTGTCACCCGAGATGTAACAACAATCATCATCATCTTATCATAATTTTTGTTCCCATTTGATTTTAACCTTTACACTGAACTCCTGGTCTGTGGGACCGCTATCAAAACTTTCACAGTGTATAACTATTGATAAATATAAGAAAAAAATTCCAAACTTCGAGCTTCTGTGCCATCGGTTCTAATCGATAGAAAACGTTTTTTTTTCGCCCCGATAAATCTATGAAACCACCAAAGTTTCTTCCAATTTATTCCCTGACAGAATTGATGAAAAATAATAATTAGCACCAATTATTCATAATGATGGCCATATCTTTATTCGTTCGATAATCGGGGATCAACAGACGAGATTTATATGAAAAAATTTTCATAACAAACATTTTTTTTTTTTTTTATGCTTATTTTATATCGCTTCGAGTCTGATGAGACTATATGGCGATTGATCAAGACTTTAAAAATGGTTAGATCTCACCATTCTACCCGGCCAGGAATCGAACCTGGAACCTATCCGTTGTGAGGTAACGGCCTTAACCACTACGCCAGGCCACCGGGCAAATAACAAACATTTATGTGCAAAGAAAAAAAAAATGAAATTAAATATACGTTTTGCCTCTTCTGTTCCCCTCCTACCTCATCCAAATCCCATTCAATCATTTCCTATGACGTCACAAAGATGTGGAACGCTATATAAATTCCCTTCTTTAAAGTAAAGCAGGAGGGGTCATCTCGGTTTGACCCTTCCATCGTTTAACCTTTCCCGTTTTGGCCCTCATTTGAACCTTCAGTGACGAAAAATATTGATTCATTCGCTCAAACAAACCAGAAATGCGATCCAGACGGAGTAGCGGTCTGACAGACCGCGGGGTACAGTAAACGTGGGTTTTCGGAAGGGTTCGGTGGAAAAAGTTAAGAATAGGAACGGAAAATTGAGTCATCAATTTGAGTAGTTGCTGTCGTTGAGATTCTACAACCTTTGATCCCTTTAACCTTCACACCGAACTTCTAGTCTGTGGGACCGCTATCAAAACTTACTCAGTATATTGTCATGAAAATATGCATCTGAAATTTTTCCTGCTTTCCCTATCGAAAATCAGAATTTTTCGTTTTTGTTTGTCTTGTAAAAACCTTACGAGTCCTTCAATTTTGAATATTTTTTAATGAAATTTTTGTTTGTGTATTCCATATGACTTTCCGTAAGATCAATCATACGGAAATTTAAATCACTCACTTCCTTGTGTTGAATAAAACGAAATGTTATTGAAAAGCGAAAATGTCATGATATTTCATGCCTACATTCTCACAAAAATTTTCAAGGTATAGAAATACATACCTTAAAATTGTAAATATTAAAAGAAACCATTCCAATATGCCTCAAGTAACTACCTGACTTTCTCCTGGCGCAAGAAAATCTCCTGCAAAATGCATCAATGAATTTATGAAAAAAAAGTTTTATTGAAACATCGGAAGTCGCGAGAGATTTTCTCATCGCACGCCTCAATTCAGTGGGGAAACGCGGTCCAGCTTTGGGTACAGTACACTCCCGTTATAGTTGTACTCATGGGGGAATAGGGGAAGCGAATTCGAACAATACGACTGTACTTTGCTATCCCCACCGCGCGCTCAGGCGGGGCGAGATTTCGGACAGCTGGGAGCCATAAAATAAAAATACTAAGGATTCAATTTTCGTTTTATTGAATTTAACGCTTTATTAAATAATTTTAATCGTCACGTTAGGATTTTAATACACATTTAATCAACTTTTTTTTTAATCACCCGATTTTTCTCATCAAAGTAATATTGGTTTTCCACTATTAGTTGTAAAATTCACCTTAATTCTCGATTTTTTTTTTGTTTTCATCGGCTATATTGCCATTATTTCTCTTTATTCTCATTCATTATCTAATTCACCTTATCCCAACAAAACTAGAGCTTCTCTCCATGACAGTCTAGAGGGAACAGAATTCCATGCTCGAAAATTCATAATTAGAGTACTAGACTCTCGTTATAGTCGCACTCACGGGGCTGTAGGGGCAGCCGATTCTGAGAATGGGACTGTATTTCTCTTCCCCCACCAGGCGCTTACGGTAAGCCTAAATTCCGGGAATCGGGAGCGATAAGAAAAAAAATTTTACTCCAATTATTTTTCTCTTCAATTTGCATTGAACATTTTTATTAAATATAAAAATTATTTTCATTAAACACTTTTATTAAATTAACAAAATGAATTGCGTTGAACACTTTTAGTAAATTAATGAAATGAATAGAAATATTAATAACATCGCATTGTTCAATACACTCCAAAATTTATTCACTTCATTCAAATAAAAAGCAGGATTATGCACCACTGCAAAGACCCTCTCTTCGTGACAGTCAAGAGTGAACTGAATTTCTCTCTCGCAAATTCATTTTTCCTAAATTTTATTTCCCGGATTTCTTAGAAATGCAAAACAAAGCCCATTCCGAGAAAACACAGGGGCATTTAAATCACACCTCGGAGGTGGTACGGAGTGGGGGAAGCGCTCGAGCTCGAAAAAATCGATATGAGGGGAAATGCGACTATAACGAGAGTCTACTGTATACTATTTTTCGGCATTTCTGTAATTGAGAGACAAAACTTCCTCGAAGACAACGCTGGAGTGTTTACTCTAGGGTCCGTGGGTAGTAGAGTGGGGGAAGCAGTTAAACGGCGAAAAATAAATGAGGGGGAATGCGACTGTAACAAGTGGAACTATAACGGGAGTCTACTGTACTCCGATCAGTAGTGGAGGGCTCGAGTAAAAAGACCAGAGCATGACCTTCCCTTTCCATCTAGTATGCCCGTGACGTGAGAGATTCTCTCATCGCGCACCTACTGACGGGTTAATAAAGAAGAAATTTTGTTTAAATCGTCAAAATTTTCCACCGAATACTTCTGATAATTGAGAAAAAGACTAATCTCCAGACGCTTCGTAGGGTGGACAAAAGAATAAACAAATATGCAAGATAAACGCACTTGGTACGTGAATAAAAATCAAACTTCGTGGAGACAATATTTTGTTTTAAACAGTCATTATGTTTGCTTGTTTGTTCGTTTGTTTATAAACTTCTCAATATAGAAGGTGAGTTACTACATTCAGCCCGAAAACAAAATATTACTTTTCCGCCTTTCACTTTCCATTTTTATCCTCTGTTTGTAGAAATTCAAAGTCACTGGGATTTATGGGTGGGCCATCTTTAACGGAACCCGAGTTGATGTACAAAAAAATCTGTGAAATGAAATTCTATTCGTATTCGATTGGAAATTCCAGTGGAACATTAATTATTCATCAATTATCCAAAAAAAAGGATGGTAATCTTGAAGACATTTCAATTTCCCAATTTTTTTATAAATCTTCTTTAAGAACTCATTGCCTATATTTTTGTAGATTTTGAAAATGTATTCTAACGATCAAGTAGGAGAATAAAAATGACAATTATGCAATTAAACTACATTATATTCAACTCGAAACCTTCTTTGCTTCGAGTTGAATATGATTAGCATTACTCAATTACTCAGCAACGATTCACAGCTCCAAAGAGGGTCTTCTGACGTTTCCCTTTAAAACCCAAGACATCACAATCATCAAGAACGTTACATTCGACCCATTAAAATCTACCACTTAGATACAGAAATTTTGATGGTTGCGAGCGCCACTTCACCTCTCACTCTCCGCTCTCAATCGCTCCTCACCGCGAGATCGTACAGTGTTTCTTGAATGCTCGACGCGAATGCGCACGCGAGTCCCACTCGTCAATTTAAAAATTCCGTTCAATTCAAATGTCTCCTCTGTTTCCAGTCATCGCGATGAATTTCTGATATTTCGATCGATTGTAAACAACAACATTGCGACCTTTACAGAAATTCCTGTCACTCGAAATAAGTGTCTGACGTTTTATAAATGACGTATGCTTTGTTCTCCAATTATTTAGCATGAAGTGCTTCAAATTGTTTTTCAAACATACCTGGAAACCGCAGCAGGTGAGAAATTTATGTTTTACGCGGAGAAATGAAATGTTTTTGTTCTTCAATAACAGAGAAAAAAATAAGAATGATTATTCAGTTGTAATGGAAATGATCACAAACGGAATTTCCATTACTGTTGGGCTCTCCATCGATATTGATTGATTTTCATCGTTACGTCATCTTCATTCCGTGACTTTCTATGGCAACGGGAGAGAATGGATGACAACATCACGACCATTGTTTTCGCATGAGAGTTTAACAATGCTTTCAGTCATTTGTGAGGAATATTTGAGTTATTGCGGATTATTCGGAGAATATCTAGGAAGGAATTGGCAAAAGACTTTTTTTATAAACGACGAAATTCTCTACAAAAAGGCTCTTTATGTCAAAAAACGTTCAACTTTTATTATAACCAAAACAACAGTTTTGGTTTTAGTTTGTAACCGTCATTCCATTTGTTATCAGCGTAATTGAGAAATGTTATTGATGAACCAATTAATCGATTGAGTTATGACTGAGATTGGGAAAATTTTGGCTGAAATTCCGGATGCACTTCGCGAAAATTTTTATCAAACGACTGTTCCACTGAAATTTTAAAGAATTTTGTCATGAAAAAATTACCGTTTGGTCGAAAAATGGAAGGATACCGTAAATTATGGTTGAATTATTACACAACAATGAACTCACAACCTTCAGATTACGGGACTGATGTTCGTACCAATTGAGCTATTACAAGTTGTAAGTCAAAATTTAATAGTATTTAGCACTGAATATTCATTCAATTTTTAATCAAATTAAAAAATTTGACCCCCCCCCCCCCTTCAACCGAATTGAATGTCTCTCTACTGAACTGACGTGCGTGAAATTTCAATTCTTCTCTAACAGAGAAGAACTTTTTTGTGGTCCACGATCCTATCTACAGAAAGGTGTCTTTACTGTTAAGGAGATTTTGAAATTTCATGGACAGTTCACTATTTGTGAAAATATCAAAGCACTTTTACTCCTTGTACAAAGTCACAAAGGTCTAATATTTTTTGCGTGGACCACTCGTTATCGAAATAAATTCAGAATTAATAACTGAGCCGTAAAGTAATGAATCGAGAATTACTTGGAAGACCAATTCATTTTTTGCAATTTGCAAGTCAATATTCCTGTTCTTGCTGCACCAATTTCCTCATCTCTGTCGTTTGCCTGAGAATTTTTTCTTATTGATACTATTATGCATTATTTAACGATCTGAGTCAATGAACCTCATCACATATTTATGTTCCACTTCATCTCAACATCGCCATAATATTTGTTTAAAATCAATAGCGCGTGAACATCATAATAATAACCATGAAAATTATTTTTTCGATTAAAGAAACATATTTGCATGGGCACAGAAATTTTTGTTTCTGTAAGGAAAAACTCACCTGACTCGGCTATTTTGTTATTCAACGAACTCGTCGTACATATTCTGCATCCGATAAGTGTATAATCCAACGTAATGACCACAACCGCGATTATATACTCAGTCGTGAAGAGAGAATACAAAATTGCCAGTACTAGACAAATTGCACTGTGCGTCGTCGCATCAAGATTTTATTCCTAGAAATAACAAGATTTTGCATTCTCTCCTGCAGTAATAATCTACTAACGAACGAGTCAGCGGTCGAAATATGTGTCAGCGGGTCACTAACACTCTTCATTAGGTTCTTATTAGTTTCTTACTATTTTTTAGGAGAAATACGATAGCCACATCCTGTTGTCACAGTATTTTTCTACGGGTGTTTCATTATCTGGATAATCCGATGGTTTGCGGGCATCGAAGATTGTCTCATTGGTTTGCGCAGTTGTCATGAAGTTCATGAGATTGTAATGAGGTTTGTCTAGATTTCCATGCACTGTTAAGGAGTTATCCTTGAAAATTTTTATTTTAGAATCTTGAAATTTTCAACCACAATAATTCCAATGTAAATACGGCACTTGCCCTCCACTCCAAGAAGGATGGGGTATATAGCCGACCAAAGGAATAGAATTCCAAAGCGATTTTCATCTATGTTGGGGTGAACAGTCAAATTGTGGAACTCCCTCCAATGTGCATGCGCGGGGCGACGATATCTCCGTGAACACGTGACACCGGGTTAACTATTAATTCAAATAATCTGCGAGAAATAAATCATAATTTAACCATTTTTGAACTAAAGTTTAACACAACAATAAATCCCCTATAGGCTATCCAGTAGAAGTTTATCCTTCCGAGGATACCTCCACTCTACGTAATTCCCACTCACATGCTTGGACCCCACTCCAAAAATCCACGGATATTCTTTTGGAAGATAATCTATAAGGCCTTCCCATCGGAAGGATATGGGCGCCAGGAGTTTTTCGAATAGCACATATAATATGACGCATAGCGTCCGTGAAGCGCTGCCTTACGGCCGGAATGACAAAAAAAATACTATCGATCTATTCTATAAACTCTGAAGAGGATTTCCCTCATAAAAAACTGTCGTAATTACGTGCACTGTTAAACATTTTCGTTTGAATTTTCCATGTCAAATTCCGGAAATTTTTTTCGTGTTCAACTTTCACTGAAATTTTAGGAAATCTGGTCATTGAAAAATCAAATATTCCATCAATTTTCTATTGAAGTGATCTGGAAATCATTAAAATACTTGATTTTTCAGTCCAATTGTTCTGTGAAAATTTAGAAAAATTAGAAAGGTTCAGGGATAAATTGAAAATTCATGTCATTTTGTTTCTGAATATTCATGTTCCATTGAAAATTCAATCAAATTGTAAAATTTATATCTCACTCTCACTGAAAACTCATGAATTTCCTTGTTATTCCACTTAATTCCGTATAATTCTACTTAAAACTTGAAATTTCATAACCATTTTTTCCCGAAATTCGCTTCAATGTCACTCTCATGAGGTTTGCTATAATATCTTCCATGAAATTTCAAAAAATTTCTAACAATGCGGATATCATTAAGACATTTCCCAAAATCTGATGTTCATACAAATGAACTTCACTTATCCCGTTGTTCTCCACTACAAAAGAAAACAATAATCAAGCACTCCATTCTTCCGTTACCTTCATCAATCCCCAATCAAAAACATCTCATTAATAGTCTGAATCATAAAATCGATAACGTTCCGTCCATAAACTCATTTCCTGGCGGCTCATTAAAGTCAAATCATCAATCTGATTAAAAATCGCGACGTGTTTCCCCAACACAATTGACCGATAAAAAAATCGTCATCGTTCCCCCCGAACGGTAGCACACTACAGATATTGGAATATGCGAGAGGGTCAGATAACCGGGGGGCTCAGGGGTCGGCTACGATAAACCATTTGACGGTATTAACCAGTCTAGTGAGTGAAGTTTAACTCGACAGTTCCTATCACAACCGTCTCCGGTCGTATTGTTTCAACGCTCTCATCCTCGTGTGACCTTAAACCGCGTTAAAAGATTCCAGTTAAAAATGTCAGAAATTCTCTCGGTGGATTACCTCATTGGGTGAAAGGAGACATCGGGCAATAATATTGCAGAAATCATTTTGTAATATTGTTACTATCGATAGTGAAATGAAATCAGTATTATGGATAATCATAAAAAATGTTGTGATACTCATGGGGCACCCAAAAATGACGTGAGTTGAATCAAAATTGTTGATGTTTAATTACAAAATTTCTATTTTTCTTTTGAAGTTTTTTTATTGGAAACATTTTTAACTTCCCGACCCGAAGGGAGGAAGTTATTGTAATGACCCCGAAAATCGAATGTGGAAATTTAAGCATTTCTCCACGTTTCATGACCTTTGGAACCACTTCTGACCCTTTTCAGGTACCTGTCTGTATGTGTGGATGTGTGTATGTGTGTGCGTACGTCTGTGACAAAAATTTTGTGCCACGATTCCTCCTGAACAAACGATGCGATTTGACTTTTTTTTTTTAATCGCTGTATTTTCATGTGACTTGAACCTGATTAGATTATGGAGACGATCGTCTCAGCGTTTCTCCAGTTTTTTCCAAAAAACATTTGGAAAAAAGTCGAAAATTAGCGTTTTTTTGTAAACGAGACCATTTCTCCGTGCATAACGATGCGATTTCAAGTTTTTTTTGTTAGAAACGATGAATCTTGATATAACGCACAAATCATGGAATACTGGAAGACATTTAATCAGCAGTTCACTAGCTTTTTTCGAAATTGATATACATTCAAGAAACAATTTTACTTTTCTGACAAATTACATCTTTTCTCGATGCGGAATACGGCGATGTGTGTGTATGGGAGTGTGTGTGTGAGTGCGAGCACGCGCACGGATTTTCTTGTCTTCTATGGGTATTTCCTCGGAGAAATGTGAGAAAAAGATTGAATAAATACATAATAGAAAAATTAATGAAAGAAAAAACAAATGGTCGGGAAGTTATTGGTGCGACCCGTAATGGGTCACATCCAATTCCACCAACCCCTACCGGTCATACCCTAAAGTGGGAGCGCGCAAAGCGCGCGACCGGGCCTGATTTTTTTTACCAGTTTTCACATTGAATTGGACAAACTGTCCAATCAAATATGGATGATAATAACAAAAATTAGGTAACACTTCTGTAAATGATAACAAGTTCAACTGAAAATTGAAATGGAAAAAAATCGAAGACTTTTTTCCTCATCAATCAAAATTTGTTCACACACTGAGAAAAAAATATAATTCTGCCAGTCAGATTTGTTTCAGACACACAAATATCCAAAATTTCCTTGACAGAATTATATTTTTTTTCTCAATGCAGTGACCGACACCGAGATGGAGATGCAGAGATCCCTTTATTTTCCCGGGTTGGGATGTGTCTTTGAGTGAATTTTATGTGAAATCCGAATAATGGAATTCCTCCCCCTCCGTCACTGTGGGACCCATTGGAGAGGGAAGGTGGGTAGTGGGTAGGGGGGATCGTAGTAGTGGGAGAAAAGCAACATAACCTACGACTGTCACCATGTGGCAACCATTCCGTTACTCAGGCATTGCGCAATTCTACGCGCATGACGTCAAAACAAGGACGCAGAATGCATGAGGAGTGGGAGAACTTTTTTCACGGAGAACAAGCCCAGAGGAGAAAAGAAGGCAAATGATAGGAACGGAAAATGAAGAGAACTCCACTGTATTTCGAAACTAATTTCATAAATAATTTGGTCGTGAAATGAAATATTTATTATAGATAGTTACAAAAAATCTAAGGATTCCATGAATTGAATTCGAATTGTTGATTTTTCATTTATGAATGAGAGTTTATTTTAGCTGATAAATTTTGAAATCCATCTCGTTATCATCATCAATCCGTCCAATCAAATATGATTAATGATAAAAAAACTGTTGCAATGCTCGAAGTATCTGAGAGGAAGAACCGCGTGAATTTAATTGAAAGAAATGAAATCATTCAATAAAAATTTCAAAGACTTTATCTTACTTAATAAAAGTTGATTTAGTGTTTATCTGCTTAAATATGAATAACAAATGAAATTATTGTAATATTCATCAAAAATTAAAAAACTAGGCGATTTCAATTTTTTTTTCTTCATGCGAAAATTTATATTTCTCGTCGTGGCAGAAAAACGGTGTGAATTCCATAACATTCTTATCACTACCGCGGATATTAAAACTGACGTTGACGAAGCGCAATACACAGTCACAAATCCAATACATTAATGTTAATGTTACTTATGTCCGTGCATTGATAAATTTGTCATTTTTTTTCATGTTCTCATCCACCTATCTTGTTTGTCCGCCATCCATACGTCTTGCGAGTAGAAAGCGAAAGGCAGGTGTCCTTGATCACGCATTTCTTGATAATTGCACAGTCCATCGCTAGACTCTCAAATAACTATTACACCTTGGGAATTTTTTTGTAATTTTGAGGAACAGGTGCAATTTACAGGACGATTGCTATGAGAGACTACTATATGTTTTTAACATCACGGGTTGATAAAGTGACACTCCATATGTTTCGCTCACATTCCTCGTATGTAAAAACTGATAATTCGCGTGTAAAGACTCATTGCTTATCGTCTGTTAGCAGCGTTGAAGCCTAGAATGATATAATCGGAAAATCTTCCCAGTGTCTTAATTTTTGCGACAGACATTTTTTTTTTTCTTTCAGAATTAAAAATAAAGTGTACAGAGAAACAATAACGCGTTTCTTGTTGATATTACAAATTTTAGTCAGGATAAATATTCCGAGGCTTTAATCTATAAATGTTGGGCATTTTCGGTCGATTTTTGCGTCCGAATGGAAGCTTTGTACACGGAGAGAAATATTCAATAAAAATCACCAGAAAAAAGACGTAAAAATTACGCTTCGAAACGTAATCTGGGAGCGAAGTAAAATTCAATAAAAAGTGTCAATCGTCACGTAAATTCTACGATCTGTTCCGTAAAAATTACTCATCCGTCCGACGCCTCACGGCTAGCAATGAGTCACCGTGAGGGGGAGATTTTAACAACACGTTCCGTAATTTTTCCGGAACTTTTCGTAAAAATTCTTAAACATCCAAGAATTTTTATGTTCTGAGGCATAATAAGTCTTGAAGTTTCTGTTAGATTTTACAACTTCCAGAAAAATTACGTGACTTTTTCATATTTTTTCAGTGACAGACCCGAAAATTTACTGAACTTTCACATTTATTCTCTTATATTCCTATAGAAATTCACTGAAAACGATTCTCGCTTGCGGATTACGTGAAATGTTCCGTAATTTTTCTTGAATATTTTTCTCCGTGTAATCGTGATTTTTTTCAATTTCTTAATTTTGGATGAGAATGCCTAGAAATTAGAATTCTCAAGTAACTTCCCTATATCAAATTTTAGGTCGATATATTTGATAGTTTTTGAGATGCAACAATTCACCCGAAATTAATGAGAAAAAAAAATCATTTTTTGTCATGAAGTATAAGTGGGATTGGCCTTAATCTTCCCAAAAAAAAATAGTAATCCTTATGCCATCATTTTTTGAAAAAATACATTGGGATCCATTCGGAAGTCTACTACCACTGAAATTGGTAGAAATGAAGATAGGAGAAAAGAAAATACATGGAGAACAGCAGCCATATGTAATCTGTCAAATGGTTTCTGTCGCGCTGCCTGTTTTAATATCAGAAAGAGAAAGCGGTCTACTTAGGATTCATGTATGGGAAAAGCGTTTTTCAATAATTGTTTCTGCCTATTGAACTATCGTTGATATTTCAAAACAATGAAACGTTAGATGCAGTTAAATTTTCAATACATTGCGAATTAATTTTCATTTTGACTTCATACAGACTTTCGTATCGTAAATTCGTATCGTAAAGGCTTTTGATGGTATTAATCACTTTTGCGCTGACTCCGAGACTATAAAGCTTACGCCACACCTTATCATGGGGCACGGAGCCGAATGCTCGCCGGAAGTCGACGAACACTGAGTAAATCGCGGCCCCCCGTGACGAAGATGAGACTGGACCACCGATTGAAGGACAAAGGCGTTTTGATATCTTGATCGGCACGTGCGACATGGAAATAATCCGCAAACATTTACGTTTTCATGCTTTTGCCACCTGCATGGATTTGAGTTGTATGAGAGTATCGTGAACTTTGAGGAATGAGAATAAAATAAAAGAATTGCTGGATTATCTGGCTGAATTATCTGGCAATTATACATATTAAAATGAGTACCACTTGCACAGTATTTAATCAGAGTTACTGAGATAAGTCCGTTTTATTTCATCTAAGTTACATGAGTCTTCTCCGGAAAACTAAGATAGATGAGTTGTTTTAAAAATAAAAATAAAATACCCCTGTTTCATGACGAAGTGTCGATATATTGCTTGATAACAGAGTAGTATAAAATTCCGGCTTTTTTTGTCACAGGAATGAGATTGCCACCACTAGAAAGATTTTGCATGTTTAATTCAATTTTGAAAAATATGATTTTGGGCCATTTTAAAGACTTTAACCGTTTTTCCTCAGAAAATAGGTCATTCTATGAGATTTCGCCGGCAGATTTGAAATCAGCATGCATAAATCTTTCTAGTGATGGCAGTCTCATCCCGGCACCAAGGAAAACCCGAAATTTTGTAGGACTATGTGAGTGTTCAGTGCTCAGATCAAATTGCTAAATGATTCCTTGAATATTCCAGATGGACAATCCTGCACATTTGAACGGTTCAAGATCATCAGGCGTAGATTTACCAGCAACCGAGCTCGGAGAAGTGAGAATGTCCCTGCCGACACCTGCAGCATCATCCTCAAGGCATGTTGGAGGTGGATCTTGTCATAATGGTCCATGCAAAACGCCGATGGGTCTTCAGCACAAGCCTGAGAGCCCCTGGCACTCACTGAAGACTGTCTTCTTGGTGTCGTGCATCGTCGCACTCATCATTTGGATTATTGTCTACACTCTGCTATCCCAGTATGAATTACTGTGATGATTGGTAACTGGGAGGGGGGGGGATAAATAGCTTCGTACCGCAGTGTGTTGTGTGTGGGAACTGTTTCGAGACTTTCAAGGTGTTGATCTAGTCCCGTTGTGTGAGAAATTAAAAAGAGGAAGGACGATTTTGGATGAAACTCTGGATATTGAGAGTCGGCTGGTGAAACTGGACTACAGAGGTATTGACTTGATTCTACACTTTTATATTCCTGTACATTGAGAGAAAAAGGACCGACTTTTCAAATAAGTCTTACTTGTGCCAAAAAAGAGTTTTTTTTTAATTATCAAGAAAAAAATTTTTATGCTAAACATGTAAAGAGTGCGGCGAGATGGAGAACTTTTGTCACAGAAATAGATTAATAATACCAAAAACATTGTGTTCTCTGTGCAAGCAAGAATTGTCATTTCTAGCAGTATTTCTTCATTATTCGCTACTTCTATACGTCTTTTGCTCCCGAAAAATGTTTGTTTTAGGCGAATCAAGGGATAGTCGTTCAAAAACAAACAAGTTACTCCCTCTACCATTCCGAATAGTGAAGTCGGCAGGTATCACAAAAAATAAGATTTTCATCACGCTGTGACGAAAAGTGAACTTTTCGGCGCGCTCCTCGTGATAAACCTCCCACTCGCCAAAAAACACTTTTTTGCACTCGTTACAAAATATACTATTGTTACACGTGCGTGTGAAAAAGTGGAGCTTTACGCACCAGTAACACAACAGTATATTTCGATACGAATGCGTAAAAAGGTGTTTTGACTCGCCGAAGACGGGTGTACCCTCCCAAAGATCAAAGAACACTTTTCCCATGAGTATCGAACCCTATTTTCCTATTCCATCATGATGTATAGAAAGTAGGATTTTGCACACGCGGAAAACGCGGAAAATTTCACTTTACGCATAAGTGATGAAATATACTGTTAATGACTCATCTGAAGTAAATTTGAATGACATTCGAAAGAATTTTCGCAATTAATAACAATGATAAAAAGGTTTTACTTGATCGTCATAACCATTTTTCCTGCTAAAAAAGAAATCTTTCATTTTTCTTTATTTTTTGGGGGAATTAAGATCAGATTTGAAAAATTGTAATATAATATTGAGAGGCCTCTGACATTTAGCTATCCAAATAATGGACAACATTTCACCGAGGCTATTTGTCAAACAGCTCAAATATTCTTAAGAATACAAAAATTCAATTCGTTATAAAAATTTGCTTTATTATTTAATTTAAAAAATCATCTTTATTCCCATATAAATTGAGGTCTTCACGACCAGTTGCATTCTAAACTCCATCTACCTGCGCTGACATTTACCGTTTGTGATTCATCATTATTCATTTTTTTTGCAGAAATGGAGTCATGAAGTGGAAATAACAACTCTACGGTTAAAGAGATGCATAGGAGCAATAACATAATTTAACCGAGAATTGTAAATACTGTTACGAGATATGTAAATATTTATACTTGTACTCTTACAAAGAGAGTGTAATCATTGTTCTATTTTTTGATATTCTAATTCCTGTTGCTAATAGTTTTCTTCATATTATATTTAAAAATATCATTCCTTTGACCACAGTAGTATAAAAACAATTGCTAATTTAACTCATCTCATTTGATTGTGACATTTACCATGTATCATGGTTGGGTGCATTAATCTGAGAAATCAATACAATAATTAATTAGAATTTAAGAGATTTTGTATAGGGTGAGAGAATTCCGCAATTGCAGAGCAATAAAACCGGTATGTTTCTCTCAATTTGATGAAATATTAAGATGTAAGATAGACAAATGCGAATAAAAGTTAATTTCACAATGAATCGGTGACTCTATTAACTAATTGATCGAATAATTAAAGAGCGAGCCTCTGATTAATCAAATTCGAGATTTTATTTTGATCTAGAGACCATCGTGGAAACTCATGTCAAGAAAATTCACGAAAATCCCCGGAGAAAATTTCAAGATTCCTCGACATTCATCGACGTTCAGAAAGCAAATCCAAATTCTCCGCCAGGCCCTTCGAACATTCCTCCCAACATCCAGAAATCCCCAAAATCCGCAAAAGGTGAAGATGAAAGTGTGGAGATGCAAACGAAGAATGCTGTATTACTTTTCGATGATGAAGTAATGAAATCCTTGATTATTTTCTCATTTCAATTTTACACCGAACCCCTCCGAAAACTCACATTAGCGTACCCCACGGTCTCCCCTATGATAGAAGCGTATGGGATTTCCTATAGCACATCCTATAGGATTTCCTATAGAAATTCCTATGGAGAATTCGAACATTTCCTATAGGATTTTCCAGATAGGATTTCTTATAGGATTTCCTGTAGCATATCCTACAGGATTTCCTATAGCATATCCTGTAGGATTTCCTACAGGATTTCCTATAGCATATCCTATAGAATTTCCTATAGTATATCCTCTAGGATTTCCTATTGGATTCCTTATCGTCTTCCTTATTGTATTTTTTATAAGATGTCCTATAGGATTTCATATGAGATTTTCAACAGGATTTCCTACAAAATTGAGGGGCATAAGGGTCACAATGAGGGTCTAAAGTGTCATATGGGTATCATGTGGGGTTCATATATGAGTCATAAAGGGTCGTATAGAGGCCATATCAGGGTCATATAAGGTCATATAGGGATTACATGGGAATCATATGAGGGTCATATGAAGGTCATTTAATCCTCCTATGACCTCCATATGACCCCCGTATGATCCTTATATGACCCCCATACGACTCTTTTGACCCTTAGTCTGACCCTTCTGATCCTAAATTTCATAGGAAATCCTATTCGAAATCTTATAGGATAACCTATATTAAATCCTATAAGACATCGTATAGAACATCCAATAGGAAAAACCCGATAGGGAATTCTATAAGAAATTCTATAGTAAATCCTATTTGCAAAATGCTATTGGAAATGTTTGGATTCTCTATAGGATTTTCTATAAGAATCGAACTAATCATATAGGGTATCTTATATAATAGAAAATTGATTTTTTCGTACGTGAGCCGTCAGACCGCTACTCTGTCTGGATCGCATTTCCCGTTTGTTTGAGCGAATGAATCAATACTTTTCGTAATTGAAGGTTCAAATGAGGGCTAAAACGAGGAAAGGTCAAACAGGGAAGGATTAAACGATGGAAGGGTTAAACAGGGAAGGGTTGAACAGAAGAGGCAAAATGTATGAGTGTAATCTTTTATTATTTTCATTTTTTTTCTAGGTCCATAAATATTTGTTATGAGGATTTTTTTATATAAATCTCACCTATTAGTTCCAGATTATCGAACTAACAAAAATATGGCATTTATTATGAATAATTGGTGTTGATCATTTTTTTAATCAATTCCATCAGTGAATAAATTGGAAAAAATATTGATGGTTTCATGAATTTATCGGGGTGAAAAATAAAAAACGGTTTGTATCGATTGGAACCAATGAAATAGGAAGGGACTGAACAAATCTCTCCTATCTCTTACCAAGGTCCATCTCTTGCAAAAATGGGACTTGTCTTGTTAGAGTGATCAGAACTCTACCTTCTTCTTCCACCTGTTTCTGCTCAACATCTCCCTAATTATTTTTCAGTCGGAATTTTCTGACGACCCGTCGCTGAGACCTCGGCAAACCCTTGTCGGCTGGGACAGCTTCCGTTCAAGAACAATGGTAGCCCTGATGATTCTCTTCGTCCTCTGGATCATCGTCTACTTCCCATTGATGTCCATCCTCTGAAAACTCAAAACAAAATAAAAAACCTTTTAAAAACATCAATAACACTGCAAATAAGAGGAGTGAAAAATGGACCTTTTATTTTTTCACAAGTTTGCACTCATCACAAAATAAAAGTAAACTTTCAATTTAAGGAGAATTCTCATCACATCGGCAAATTCTAACACCATTACAGCATTTTCTCAACATCACCTATTAGATATTATGGAGTCCAGAATCCATAAAAGTTGGGCCAAACTAAGGGACACGGGCGTTATAATGAGGATCAGAATAGGGGTCTCAAGGGTCAGATTAAGGGTGACAAGGGTCAGAATAAGGGTTAGAACAAGGTCATGCGCATCATATGGGACTCGCCCTATATTATCAAGATCCAAATCGACTTATGGTGATGAAAATTTGGCTCTCGAAATTAAGACTCCAACATTAAGGGCCAGAACTACAGGGTGAGTAAATAAGGTTATAAGGGTCACGAGGATTTTAATGAGAGAATAAGACTCACGAGGGTTACAGTCCAAGGATCACCAGGGTCAGAATAAGGGTCATGGGGACCATTGGAGCTCTCTCTCTGTTATATCAAAATCCAAATCGACTTCTGGTGATAAAAACTTGGTACTCAAAAATAAGACTCCAAAATTAAGAGTCAGAAATGAAGGGTCAAGAACCAAAGGTCAGAAATGAAAGGCCAGAAACTCGTCGTTATTCAATGAACGATAACTTAAAAACAATCGAACGAAAAAAATTGAAATAAAATGGATTGGATGTATTGAACTTTAAAATAAACTCCTAGAGAATTTTCTAATTTTTGACACCAATTTCAATGTTTGTTGACAATTCAATGGTTGCCGAGATCTTCGAACATGCTACATTTATTTATAACCAACAAATTATTCAACAAATCGAAATTTAACGTCTGCCATTCGATAGAAGGATCATTGAAGTATTTTCAGTAAAAATTTCAAAATTTTTGGAGAAAATTTTGTCGATAAACGAGATGATTTAATACGATTGAATCGGTAGGATGTAAAATTTTCATTTACAACTTTTGTTCATAGAAAAAAATATTATAAATGCATTGAAAAAAAATAAAATAGTTCACTGCAGAGACAATTCCATTCCATTGACTTTCCAAATAGGTACTATGCATTGACCCCGGCCGATAGGACAAGTTTATGGGTCGATCCATGGTATAGGCTATCCAGTAGAAGTTTATCCTTCCGAGGGTAACCCCACTCAACGTAATTCCCACTCACATGCTTGTACCCCACTCCAAAAATCCACGGATATTCTTCTGGAATATTTACTTGATCATATTCAACTCTACCATTCGTTAATAGTTAACGAATTTCGTTTGGAATAAATGTGATTCTATCAGTGAATAACGCGTAAACGAACGGTCAAATGTCTTCTGTTGGATAGGCTCGGTTACCTACTTGTTGTTTTATCGGTAGACCGATGAAAAGCCTAGAAAAAAACAGCCCACACCCCAAAAACATGCTAAAATCCACCGAACTTAAAAATGTTCCATGATCCATTTTTTCCGTGGTCTATTTTTTCCGAGATTTTTTTGATCAAACACGATTGCACAAGATAAAGATAATATTAAAAAAAAAATTAAAAGTATCAATCTGCTCTCTCCTCTCCTATTACGATCATTCCCAATTTCTTATGCCTGCGAGAAAAATTAAACTCCGTCTCTCCCAAGTTCGTCACATAATCAAGATGACCTCATGATATCATCTCTAACAACTCGACTTCCGCAATTACGTCTGGAACAGCTCGAAATCTCCATCAATTGTTTTATCATTCAATTATTTCTCCAACGAGAGTCCCGAAAGATTCCCCTTCAAGACGAAAATATTATTCTAATCCGAAAGGGTAGCAGATATTTGACCCTGTCCGGTCATCAAGATCTTTGACCTCCCTCGACCTTGCTCTACCTCCTCCGAAGTTCCATCAGATTACTTCGCGCACGAGTGCATTCTCGTCAACGATCTTGGGATATAGAAAAACAACAGACCGATACAAATATCCAACCAATCGCATCTGAGGTACAGGGGAATGTGAAATATTGCTCGGTGAACGTAAAACGACTCGACTTCAGTCTCTCGAGAAACGTTTACCGTTCGAGACGTGCTTAATCAGTGGAAACAGACGAGAGGAAATTCAGAGGGGACCATAATGGCGGCCAAGAAGGCACTCATCGTCCTTCTGGCTGTGACCTTGTCACTTCTGATCGGTGAGAGACTTAACAGAAATTATTATTAATCCATCAGTAATTTTTTATTCATTGCGAATCATTGAAAAATTCCTCTCTAATTTATTTACATCCTTGAACGATTTTTTTATTGGGTTGTATTAGTCACTTCATGTTGTTTACATCTCGCCTAAGGAGTCGATTCATTTTCCTCTGTGCTGTGCTGTGATTTCTTGAAAATTAATTAGTAGAGAAAGGCAAAACTGTGGGACAGGAGAAATTTTGTTGATAGGGGAGGATGGGGTAAAATGGACACTTGATTTTTTTTTAAATGTTCATGACGTGTTGAATTATTCATGAAATGGAATAATTTTATTTTTCAATTGAAAGAACAATTATTCCTCTTAGTGATGAGCGTAGAATGAACTCAATTGATCAAGCGATTTCAGGTCTCCGAAATCATTTTCGAAATGATCTCTGAAATCAATGAAATCCGGACCGTGCGAGTAATTCGTGGTTTAGAAATTGAGACGGCTGCCAGCGATGATAATAATAAAATGCCGTACTCACTGTAATACTGGTTTCCGAGAATCCCATATTTACTCACTCCCAGACAAATGTCATATGTGCTTATTATCGTATGGATCCAGAAAAAGTCCATTCGTTATAGTTCCAGACACTTCAGGTCAAGAATCAATAGTTCGCAAATCCTCACTACGTTGCTTTCTTAATAAAGATAATTCAAAACTCAGTAGTGATAGACTTCAGCGAGTTAGGGACGAAGAAATAACGAGAAGTACTGGTCATTGACGTAAGAACCCTTTGCAAAGCAAGAAAAAGTAGTTTGTGAAAGAATTAAAGGAAATTGATATCAGTGATTTGTGTTTATTTCAGGAAGAAAAATATCTTACTTGTTTATTAGAGTATTTGCTGAGTTTCGCTTATTCAGAGTGGAAAATTCTGCGAAGCACGTAGTTTTCGAGCGAATATGCTCGTGTCAGTGGTAATAGCAAAAAGATGGGTGCTCTTTGCTGTTGGTATATTTTGGATAAAAGTCTGAATAGTTTAAAGTCGGAACCACTGAGTTCTCACGGCTACATTAATATTAATCAGTGTCGAAGAACAATTTCTCCTCCTCTGATCACTGAGAATGAAGATTTGAGGCTCCCTGAGGGAATTTTTGATAAAGTTGACAAATATTTCTAAAAAAGTGAATTAATTTTATAACAATCTATGTGTGAAATCATTTATAGAACTTTTATTTTCTATTATAAAGTTCTCAAATTGATTGTTATTTGTGAATTATTACTGGAGACAGAATAAAATGGATGGCTTTTCATCGTCATTAGCTCAAGATTGGCGGGCTGGAATCAAACAAATTCGTTATTATTTGCCAGTTTTGAGTTTCATAATTTGACACGGACCGTTTTGCCCCATCCCTATTATTTATTAATTTTATTCATTGTGATTTCAATGACTTTTTATTTTCTGAAATCACTGATTTCGAGTTAATGAAATCATTCGAAATCATGAAATCACCTCCAGTGACCCTCGAAATCACTGTTTTCGGAATCACTGAAATAAGCGCTGAAATCACCCGAAATTGACTTAATTTTTAAATCATGGTGTCATTCAATTACAGAGTGCGTAGTCCCTTGGAAATTGCTCTTGCTTTCCCCTGCGAATTCATTCATTTCTTCAATGAGAATTATTGTCATTTTTTAGATTGATGTAAAGATTTGTTTTCTATCACGTTGTTTAATAACCGTAGGAATTGTTTGAATTAATTCAAATCCTGAACAATCCACTTAAGAATTCCGAGGACAGCGCCTTTGAAATTCGCGTGAGGTCGAGCGGTAGATCCTTGATATGACTACGTAAACTTTAAAAATAAACCTGAGGCCGTGAGACTTATCATCGCCAAAAACACCATAAAGAGATCTATGATCATACGTGTCGAAATACTCGATATTTCCCGCTAAAGATTGTAAAATGGGTCAACGAGCTATTTACAGACTTTCAATTCATAAACAGTGGTGTCAAGGATCAAACTTCTGGGGTCACCACGATAACACGATAACCCAAACGATTTACGATTGAGGAAAAATTCAAGTCTAACTTCTAAGAAATGACTAATCTCTTCGAGTCTCAAAGCAATCAATTTGTTCGGTAGGACATAAATAGGGAACAATTCAATGGACAGGACTTGACTTTGAATTCCTCACTGAAATTTGAATAAAAAATAAAAATAAAATGATTATTTTTCATTACAAGTTTGTGGTTTTGTTACACTCGAGTAAAAAAACCATCGCAACAGTCCGAAACAATATTTTTTTGAAATGATTCTCAAAATTTCTTATTTTTCGAACTTATCGATGCTTAACCCCTTAAGGTAAATTACAATATCCCCACTCTATGGCCTTCAAAGTGGGATGCCAGCGTCCCCACTCGAACGTTCTACAACGCTTTACTACGCTTTTCACCTTAGAGGGTTATCATATTTTACCAGATTTGTGTTAATCCTGCTAATACAGGATGTTCATCCATTTGTGAAACCAACATTTCTGACAATTAATAACCATTAGTCGCAGTAGCTTGCACGAAGTGAAATAAGCAAATTTTTTCTCATGCACGGGCTTTCATGAGATTAATTTTCAAACCGATAATTTACCTATTTGAAGACTGCAAAAAAAAATGAATACATCAAAACTATTTTGAGTGCTTGCAGTATCGGATAAACATCCTTAATTATATAATCATCTTGGCGATGAGGAGACCATTTTCATTAAGAATTTTCTCGTCTAAGAATAGTATTTTTTTTTTCTAAATAAAAAACTCTGGTAAATGAATGAATGGAAGATCTCCTATTTCCCTTGAATTGTTTTCTTCATATTCACCGATGGTTCATCATAAAAAATCATGGAAAGACTTCTTTTGTAGAAAATTCGTCTACCCCCACACAAAAATCTCAATCCCATTTCTACGAAAGTAACCCCACTTTCCTCTCGAAATTCATGATTTCTACTCCCTTCTAGACATGAGGGTCTCGTCACTCCTTAATCGGGTAGTTCAGTGATTTCCAGAATGGGATGATTTCCTGAATTAAATTTTTCGTGATTTCCATTATTTCTAGTAGATTCTGATGATTTCTTGATTTCAAGAAATAGTAAGAATCAAATGACATGTGCATAAGGTCATGAGAGTCACACGGGATCGTATGAGTGAGCTCGAATAAAAAATTTGGGTTTCACTTTCATCGATGATTTCTGAAATCATCTGACATCTTTATGATTTTTACTGATTTCCAATGATTTCCAGAAGTCATTAGAAATCACTACCGGAAAGGGAAATCCCTTGATTTCCAGTGATTTCTGGTGATTTCCTCCTTGATTTCCAATCGAGTGGTCCAGTGATTTCCTAAGTGACCAATCCCTCGTTTCAATCTGGTCTAATTCCGATAATCCATTTTCCAGAGGACACCGAAGCCGGCTGGAAATTCTGGAAAAAGGACAAGGAGACGACGACAGAAACGCCAACCACCTCGACAACAACTACTACAACAATCCGCCCAGTACCAAACAACAACCCTCCTCCAGGCTCGCGACAGTCCACCGGTTCCGTCAACAAAGCCCTCATCGGAGCAACGAATCCCGGTCTTGCAATAGGAGTGGGAAATTCCGGGCAAAATGTACGCGACAACGCGCGTCCCCAGAGGCTCAACCCTGGAACCGAAGTTGGTCAGGACTTTCCAGGATCTAGACCAGCAAACCCAGTTATTGGTGGAGGTACGGGTCAGGGGTACAGAGACTGGGCTGTGGACCTCACCGGTGCTGGAGACCCCTCCAGACAGGCTCCAAGGCTCCCATCCACAGGACCAGCATTATCCCCTGGAGGGTCCACTCCAGGATTGACTAAACCAGGGAGTCCCAACTCTCCTCAACCTGTCGTGCCAAACAGACCAGGAAGTGGAGGATCAAGTCCCCAATCAGGACCTCCAGCAAGCAGACCGGCCTCTCCAGCATCAGGTGCTGGAAGCCCTTCAGTGATCTCCACTCCTGCTGCACAAGGAAATAAGCAGGGCCCTCCTGCCCTTGGCCCCAGACCAGGATCTCCATCAAGTTTGGGAGGATCTACTGGAGGATTGTCACCAAGTTATGGACAAACTGGAGCCACTGGAGGATCGCCGTCAATTCCTGGACAAGTTGGAAGTGACGACAGACCGCACGTGTCCAACATCAATGTTGGACCGATTACTCCAGCCCCGCCTGGTCAACGTTCTCCAGGATATCCGAGTCTTCCAGGATCTCCCAGCTCTCCAGGAGCTTCCCCTCCTGGAGGAAAAACGTGGGCGGAAGTCGCCGGGGGTGGAAGCCGTCCTGGGTCACCGACTCCACCTCCCAGGTCCTCTGGACAACCGATTTCTGGACAGACTGGGGGAAGAATCACTCCTGGAGCAGTGGCTGGGGGACTTGCTGGAGGCGCCATCGGGGCGGCTGGACTGGCGGCCAATGGTGCCAGAAAGACGTATTCTAGTAATCCTATTTACAGTAAAGGCAACTCGGTGACTGATGAGGATCTGGAGAAGTTGTCTGAAGCCCTCTGGATCAAAGATAATAATAATGCTTGGAAGTATATTACACTGAATCTCCAGAAGCAGACCAGCTCGAGTAGCCAAAAGGATGAGGCGGCAGAACCGTTAGTATTTTTTTCAGTATTAAAAAATTAATCTGAATTTTTTTATTCAAGCACTTAAATGCATAGATTAAAACGTTACTTCTATTGCACTCAGATAGAAGTACGTACATATGTAAAAATCCGAGGGTAACACACGAAAAAATTTAATTGAAAAATCTAACGAATTCGCTAGACAATTCTGTTGGATTTCTATTGAATTTTCGACAGTAGAGTTCCCTTTAGTTTTCCGGCTTGAGATGTGTCCTTGAATGAATTTCATGTGAAATCCGAATAGTGGAATTTCTCCCACTCCGTCACTGTGGGGTACATTAGAAAGAACAAGAGAGAACGTTAGAGAGAACAAGCCCAGAGGATAAGAGAAGACAAATAATGGAAACGGAAAATAAAGGGAACTCTACTGTATTCGGTTTTGGCCGATTCTATTGAAATGTACAATAAACAATATTCTATAGAAAATGTGAATAGAGTTCAATTTTTCTATACAACTAATTCTATTGAGATATTTTCTCTAGAATTTCCTCGGTTTATATTTTTCAAGTTTTTTCATTCTATTTTTCTTTTCTTTTCATTATGAAAATCAAATTAAAAACTTGTAAAATTTCTGTTCTTTTTATTTCAACGAGATCGGTCGCGCGTTCTCATCTCGCGCCTACTCATCTCACGTGGCGCTTCGGTTTCAGTCTTACGCTTACGCTTATTCGAGATTTTCGAGATGTCTCGAGATCGATCTCCTTTCTCCTTTTTACGATAGGAAATTTCAGTAATAAACGATCCTAATGCTAATTCTAGTCAGTATCGAGTGTCCCCATCACGAATAAGGGATGGACCTCTAAACACTAAATCTTTTTTTTATGAACCTTTTCCATAGTCTAGAGAATTATATAGAAGAAAGTCTCATCATCAAGTACGCCAAACATCGTTCTTTCAAAGACATTTTTTTCTCCTTCTATCGGAGTGAAAAAACTAAAATGACAGAATGACCGCAAAATTACCTCAATTTGTACCAAATGCATGAATGATGACGTTGTTCATTTCCATGGTTAACAATAAGAGGAATAATTAATGGGATGTTGGAAGAGTTCAGCAATACTAATTTATTGTCAAATCGCGACGTTTCGCTGCAAATCGCAGCTTCTTCAGGCTCTGAAAACCAAACATAAATTCCATGACCGAATGTGACAATCAATGTATTTGTGTGAGTTTTATTGTAAAATTTCGAGTGATATTCGGTCATGGAATTTATGTTTGGTTGCAGAGCCTGAAGAAGCTGCGATTTGCAGCGAAACGTCGCGATTTGACAATAAATTAGTATTGCTGAACTCTTCCAACATCCCATTAATTATTCCTCTTAAATGCATGAATTTTAAATGATCAGTTCCAAAGAATGACTCCCGCATTTTGAATGCTTCATCAAATTATTTCAGATTGCTCAAGGTCAAGGAGGAAGCGTCCCAGATTCCCACAATCGCAAAAGTGCTTACTATCTACGACAACTACAAGCTGGACACTCGTGAGAATGAATACATCAGCCCAGCTCAGAGAAACGAGGAGAGTCTGCTCGTCGACACTTTCCTGAGTACAAATGTCATGTCCGCGGCCATGCGCTTCCTCGCGGACAAGGGCTACATCCGCAAAGATTACTACGACTACAAGGACACCCTGCGGAGGATGTGGTTCAACCTTTATTCAAGAGGTGACGGCAAGATTGGAAGCACTGGGTTCGAGCACGTTTTCTTAACGGAACTTAAGTTAGGTACTGAAGTCAGTGGACTACATAATTGGATATACTTCAACGCTGAGGAGAAGAACCGACGAGCTGATTATTTGGGGTACATCAAGAAAGTGGATCTTGGAGATGTGAGTCACTTTAGATAATTTCACATGTTACACTGAGAAAATTTTTAATAGGGTTGCGAGCCTATTCGACAGAAGCAATGTGACTGTTACTTGAGCGTTACTAGTCTTTTGCTTCCGCATGGAAGCCTTGTTTCTGACCGATTTTTCGATTTTCTAATTTTAATTGCAAAGGGTCCAAAATGTTATGAAACGTGAAGAAATGATGTTTTTAGGGTCATGTCTGTATGTATGTATCCGACAGCTTGGGTTTTCGGTGTTTAATTTTTAGAAAATTCAACATAAATACGGTGAAAATTATGGATAAAAATCTGACATTTTGGCTCATTGTAGCTATTATTGAGCTTGACTTTGGGACGCTGTTTCAGCCCGATCGGTCCAGTAGTTCCTGAGATATAACAACTTGTTTAAATTTCGTTTTTTCTCAATATCTCAAAAACCACACTGAGAACAACTAGTTACATTAGTGTAACAACTAGTTAGACTGAGAAAAACTGGTAGGGTTGCGAGCCTATTCGACAGAAGCAATGTGACTGTTACTTGAGCGTTACTAGTCTTTTGCTTCCGCATGGAAGCCTTGTTTTGACCGATTTTTCGATTTTCCAATTTTGATTGCAAAGGGTCCAAAATGTTATGAAACGTGAAGAAATGATGTTTTTAGGGTCATGTCTGTATGTATGTATCCGACAGCTTGGGTTTTCGGTGTTTAATTTTTAGAAAATTCAACATAAATACGGTGAAAATTATGGATAAAAATCTGACATTTTGGCTCATTGTAGCTATTATTGAGCTCAACTTTGGCGCGCCGTTTCAGCCCGATCGGTCCAGTAGTTCCTGAGATATAACAACTTGTTTAAATTTCGTTTTTTCTCAATATCTCAAAAAAAAAGGAGAAAAGTATAATAAGAAAAAAAGTAATGGTCATTTGCCTTCTGTCGGATAGGAGTTCTACCCCTGCTTGTTATAAATTATTCCCAGAAGTGGATAACAGGCAAAACTGCTCTTTAGAAAAAAATTTGAGCCAATTTTTTGGAAGTCATGTGTGTTTTTAATTTATTATTGATTGTTGATTTCTCTTACTCTGCAGAAAGCCGCGATTCTCAAGCTCCACGCAAAATTCAACAACATCGACAAGCCAGTGACAACAATGTTCATAGGCACCTCCCCAGAGCTGGAAATGGCTTTGTACACCGTATGCTTCTTCGTGAGGCCAGAACAAACGTGTCCCGTTTCCTTAGGCGGAACTAAGTTCAACATAGTTACCCACAAATTTAGATACAGAGGATACGATCTGGTTGGCTCTGCGTATCCAGACATATAAACAATTTCATACTCTAATTTTTGTGAAGATTTTTATAGGCTGTTTATTATCGCCATTGTTGTTTTATTGAGATACGAGGTAGCGTATCCGCCAAGGAAAAGTTTAACCCT